CTTTGAACAGTCAGTAGACGAATTGTTGTAAGTCAAGGACTATTAGTGTTTACACAGATGGGCTTGTAATAACTGATGGATGTGAGTAGGAAGCCCCAGAGGAATTGGCCCCAACTAACCCTTCCTTTGAGCCTGAGAGTCCTCAGATAATAGCTATGGAAAAAAATTCCATAACTCTTCAAGGATGCTATCTCTTTGGAATATTCAGGGAGAAAAAATAATAATCTTGTTTGCTTCTTTCACAGTAAGAGCAACAATATAAAAATGCTTTGGAAGACAACAGGATGAGCAGGGTTCAGTTTTGTGAATTTCTGATGCCTCCCAACATTTCTCAAAAGCAGGGCTCTCCAAACTTGGCCACTTTAAGACTTTGGGACTTCAACTCTTGGCATTCCCCAGCCAGCCAGTCTCCAAGTCTTCAAGTGGCCAGGTGTGGAGACCCTGCTGAAAAGCACCAGGAGAATGGAAGGATCAGGCTACGACTGACTCTCCCATTCAAGTGAGCCAGGCACGTGGAGAAGGGAGGAAAAGGGGGCATTGTTATGGGGCACTGAATTAGAACCGTGAGCCATCTTTAGCCAACCATTCTGTAATCTGTTTTTGTTAAACTTTTTACTCTCAGGATCCCTTCTCACTTTTAAAAGTTATGAAGGACCCCCCAGAGGTAGGATTCAAATTGGTTTACCACCGATTCAGTGGGCGTGACTTGGTGGGCATGCTATGTGCACGCACCCACACTTTGCTCACACGCAGAGGTTTTCCTACTAACCTTCTGCACTCCTGGACTCTCCCCTGTTTCTTTGACAGCTGATGCGCGGCAATCCGCTGTGCCGGGCGATGCAGCTGAGTGTCAAAAGCAGGAAATAAAGGTCAGTATGGAGCCGGGGCTGGCAGGTGGGCCCAGCAGCTGATTATCGGAGCAAACTGGTTCGCTCCCAGATAATCTTTGGAGCTACCGGTTTGGCCGAACTGGGTTGAACTGGTAGAATTGGTGAGGACACCCCGCAAAAGCTTTTGTTTGTACCAGTTATATTTGTCAATATATACTGTATTAAAAATGTACAGGAACTGGGCCTGGCTAGTCTCGTGAAAATAAGGTGAGACAGGAGAGCAGCCTTCCAATACTTGAGGGGCTGCCCCAGAGAGGAGGAAGGGGTCAAGCTATTCTCAAAAGGCACCCGAAGACCAGACAAGGAATAATGGATGGAAACTGAACAAGGAGAGATTCAACCTGGAAATAAGAAGTGAGAACAATCAACCCACAGAAGAGAAGTTGCCTTCAGAAGTTGTGGGAGCTTCATCACTGGAAGCTTTCAAGAAGAGACTGGACTGCCATTGGTCAGAGATGGTGTAGGGCAGGGGTGTCAAACTCAATTTTATTGAGGGCCACATCAGGGTTGTGTTTTATCCTAGAGGGCCGGGTGGACGTGGCCCAGCATGATGACACTTGTGTCGGAGGTGGTGGCCCGGGTGCCAGTGAAAACAGGCTCCTGAGCTCCATTTGTGGCTGCAACGGCTTCCTGCAACCCTCTGCCAGCAAAAGCAGAACCTGGGGGGGAGGGATGCGCAAGCTCAGTTTTCAGCTGGGATGGTGTCCTGCAACCCTCTGCCAGTGAAAACGGAGCTCGCAAGGGTCGTGCATGCCCCTCCTGAGCTCCCTTTTTGCTGGCAGAGGCACAGCGGGCTGGTCCATCGCTGTTTTCACGGCAGCACCCTGGTCCAGATCTAAGCACCCCACGGGCTGAATCCGGCCCCCAGGCCTTAAGTTTCACATCCCTGGTGTCGGGTCTCCTGCTTGAGTGACCTACAAAGTCCAAACTCTGTTCATCTAATCAGGCAGGCAGTGGGGGCCACGAGAGAACGACTTTCTTTAGTTCACACGAGGAGAAAGGGAGGGAGGAAGAAACACACGCAGACCTGCAAGATTTGTGCATAGCGTCTCTCATAGGACTGGTGATTAAAAAAGGATTGTGAATCCCACCACTGGGCAGCATCAAGGCTGGGGCTGGACCCGGGCCCAGGACCTTCAGCAATTCCAGCCAGATTCTCCAAGCCTTCCTTGATTTGGAGAATGAGGTGTCCAAAGCACCGCAAGGATGCTGCAGGTGGTGGCAAATGGTCCAGACTGCGGAAGGCCCCAGGCCTCCACCCCAAGCCCAGTGAGAGCTGTACTGCAGGATTAGGCTGGGGACTGATTACCCAGGACTCTGCTAAGCCACCTACAAGATTATTTAACCATCACAACCAGGAGTGCTGGGGTAGCAGTCATGGAGAGAAATGGTCATGCAATGTCTCTAACGATCCCTTTGCTCAACGACCAAGATAGGGCCCCAATTATAGTTGTACGTGATGGACTACTTGCACCCTTTACACCTCTGGGAAAATCCTACACTCTCAAATGGCTTATTGACTCATAGGCCCAATAATTCTGGCTTTCCATTTCCATGGCCTTGGTTAACTTCCAACCCCTAAGATGGCCAGGATTTTCCTTACCCATGTCCTTGGTGGTGATCGCAAGGCTGGTCCCATTGGTGCTCCCACCCATTGTAGAGGTCATGAGATGCAGGCTGTACATCTTTGAAGGCCGAAGACCTGAGATGGTCAGGGTGTTTACGGAAGCGTTCACAGCAATACCTGGAGAAAAAAGTTGGCAACGCTTTGTTATCGTTTCAGAAGCCAAAACGAGGGCAGCAGAGCGATAATGATGGGAGGCCTCCTTTTATTCTTCAGACTCCTCCTAAAGGTTTTTCTCTCTCTGCTTGTGGTGATTGGGGTGGCATGAGCAGCACCTCGGACGGCAAAGTCTTGGAACCTCTAGCACTCCAGGAAATCATCTGTTAAAATCAATCCCTATCATCCTTCACCATTGGCAATGCCACACTCGTTAGTATCTTCTAACATATCTAGAAGACACTATTCTTTCTCTTCTAATATTAATGACCCAAGCTGCAAAAATATTTAGAAGTGCTCGCTTATCTATTTATTAAATTTACATACTGCCCATCTCACTATCTAGAAATATTCAGTGCAGGTTTTTACTGTCAAATCAGTTATTATCAAAAAGAGTGCGACTTGTCTCTTTCTTACCCTTGGCTCCAGGCATGTCAAATGCCCAGGCCAAAGGGAGGGTGGGATGCCTGGTATGGTCCCTTATGACTCCTGACTCCTCGGCCTCCTTCTTCCCTATGCTGCTTCCCCAATGCTCCTCCTTGCAAACTTTTTCTACCCCATTTCCTGCTCATTAGACCAGGGGTCTCCAACCTTGGCTTTGCTGGCTGGGGAATTCTGGGAATTGAAGTCCTCGAGGCTTAAAGTTGCCAAGGTTGGAGACCCCTGCGTTAGCCGGAAGATATTTTTATTTGGACTAAGTTGCTTTCATCTGCTGCTTTCCCTCTGAGTTCACTTTTTGAAAAGAAAGATCCAATTTCTTAAAGGTAAATGTTTCCCTTGTCCAGTCATGTCCAACTCTAGGAGACATTATTAATCTCCGTTTCTTCACCGAGGAGCCAGTGTTTTCTGGAGAGCTTTTCTGTGGTCATCTGCCTAGCATGGCTATATGTCAAGGGCACCCAGAACACTGTTAAATTCTCACTTAAATGGTACCTATTTATTTACTTGCATTTGCATGCTTTCAAACTGCTAGCTTGGCAGGAGTTGGGACAAAGAATGGGAATTCACCCCCTTGCCTGGTGCTCGAGTCTAGAACCCAGATTATCAGCTTTCCAGCTGACAAGCTCAGCATCTTAACCACTGAGCCATTGCACTTCCTAGTTCACTTTTTGAAAAGCAAAATTCAATTTCTTCCTGCTCTTTAAAAGAGGGAGACAAATACATTGCTATCAAGTACAGCATGTTTATACATGTTGCAAACAATTTAGTAAGCAGGTTATGGAGGGGGAAATCTTTTGCAACTTCCTCTTTAAATTGATCAATGCCAGAGGAGGCGTAAATTGGTTTAAATCAACTTGATTGCATGAAATATGTTAATCCCTGAAGCACCGAGGGTCGTCTACTTATTCATTTGGAGTATATTCCTTGGGTGAATAAGTCAAGCTATCTTGACTGGTGCCGTGGGCCGAGGATTTCTAAACAATCTGCCTTCTCCCCTCTTTCTCCATGCTCCTCGTTTGTTCTGACGACAAATGTGTGGTTTGCAGATTATTGCACAATTCACACAGCTTTAGTTGTCTTGGTGTCAGAAGCTCGAAAGTAATTTTTTTATTGCAGAGGAGACAGGGCAGGATGGAGGGAAGATTTCTGAGTTTATTTCTAAAGAGATATAAACATACAGAAGCAGCCCTGTAAGCCTTCTTGATCAGAGGGAAAGATAGACCGATTCATCCCATTTCCTCTGGGACAGGGGTCTCCAAACTTGACAACTTTAAAACTTGTGAACTCCATGCTAGCTAGGGAATTCTGGGAGTTGAAGTCCACAAGTCTTCAAGTTGTCAATGTTGGAGACGCCTGCTCTAGGTCCATCAGACAAAAGGGGACAGAACTTCTCTTAGAGGCAGTGGCTGCTCTCTTCTTAGCTGAAATCCAGTTTCAGCAACTGATGAAGGGGTTGCCTGATTTCGGGGGGGGGGGGATAAATCATCCACTACCCCCATAATTTCAGGGAGGGGCCAAACATACTTCTAGGTTCTTCATCGCGAGTGATCCAGAAGAGAGTATAGCCAGTGATGAACCCATTCCGTTCTTCAATAGGGAGAGGATTCCACCGAACCTCGGCTGTGGACACCCCAATGTTTTGAGGATGTACTTCTGGGCTGTTGGTTGGAGCTGTGGAGACAGGAAGGAATCAGAGGAGCATCAACCCTGGTCAAAGTGAAGAGTATGCTGAGGGTGGGTGGACCCATTGGGTAAACAGAAGAGACTAGACTTCAGCTTGCCATGAGCAGAATAGAAGAGTTGGAAGGGACCTTGGAGGTCTTGTGTAGTCCAACCCCCTGCCCAAGCAAGAGACTTTATACCATTTCAGACAAATGGCTGTCCAGACTCTTCTTAAAAATCTCCAGTGATGGAGCACCCACAACTTCTGGTAAACCATTTCATTGGTTAATTGTTCTCACTGCAGGGAAATTTCTCCTTAGTTCTAGGTTGCTTCTCTGCTTGCTTGGTTTCCATCTGTTGCTTCTTGTCCTGCCCTCAGGTGCTTTGGGCAACAGGTTGACCCTCTTCTTCTTTGTGGCAGCCCCTCAAATATTGGAAGACTGCTGTCATGTCACCTCTAGCCCTTCTTTTCCCTAGACTAGGCCTACCCAATTCCTGTAATGGTTTTTCATATGCTCCAGGCCCTCAATCCCCTTTGTTGCTTCTGAAGCGCTTCTGGTCACCCCTCAAAACTGGATGAGCAAAAGTTCTGCCTGAGTCAACTGACTACTTACTAAGAGTTACTCACCATGCCATCCTCTGCTAACAGCATTCAAAAGGGAAGATAGAATGCTTACATTATTATAATGTTGGAATTTAAGTTGATTATCAGGCTTAATTTGCATTGCTATTTTTCTTTACAACCCATTCTTAGAACAACAACACCTCCAGAGAGGATGGGAAATTACCCAGCTTCCCCTCCCCTAATATAAAATTCAAACCAAGGACATTTTTGATTGAAAACCATTCTGATTTGGATGGATGCTGAGCTGAAGATGCACCTTTCTGCCGTGTGTAAGCTTCTATGGACTGCGGTACCCCAACTCGGTCTCTGTAGAGGGGGTAGACAGAGATGTTGTAGCGCTGGAAAGGTTCAATGTTTTCTGAAACAGAGAAGGGGCAGGTGTTAGTACTGATTGAAGGTCTGGAGTGGGGTGGGGTACATTCCCTATCCCCACCTATTAAGCTGCTTGCTCTACTATTGATTGTAGGTAAAAGCAATGTTTGAAGGGAAGACAATGTTAACAAAGCAACAGGATGAATCCTCCTGGTTCAGATCTGACCAAAGTTGTGTAGCCAAGTTGGGAAACTTTGGCCAGGCAAATGTCAGAGAGATTTGCCTTCGCTCCCCAAGGGTGCCCCCTCCTCCTTCCCCTGGGAGTGGATCACCTTGGATCAGGATTTCTCTGATGCTTCCGTTCGGTAGCTTTTGCCACCCAAAGTTGCGGTCTGTTGCTGCAGAAGTCACTTGGTGCCACTCAATGATGTAGCCAGTCGCTGGGGTCCTTGGAGGATCCCACCACAGCTGGAAGCTCTTCTCGTTGTGGGGGGAGGCCTGGACCTTGAGCACAGGCTGACCTGAGAACAGTAGCAGAGAAAGTAGCAGAAGTGAATTGAATTGAATACTTTATTTAGCCGAGTGAGATTAGATACAGAAAGAATTAGGGGGCTGGAGGCTAAAACATATGAAGAATGATTGCAAGAATTGGGTATGTCTAGTAAAAAGTAGGGGTGACATGACAGCAGTCTTCCAATATCTAAGGGGCTTCTACAAAGAGCCAAGCTATTTACTAACACACCAAAAGGCAAGAAAAGAAACCATGGATGGAATCAAGGAGAGAAGCAACCTAGAACTAAGGAGAAACTGTTGTGGTTTGCCAGCAGCCGGTGCAGACGGCAATAGAGTCGGACAGTGGGGAAGAACGGGGACCAGTCAGGGACTCTGGAGAAGACTTCGACGAGGGTTCTGTGTCCGATGCAGGGATGGGGCCAGGACCATCTGGGAGTGGGATGCTGCCTTCGGAGCCTTCAGAGTCTGGGAGCAGCGAGGCAGAGGACCCAGGGAAGCCTGTCCCCAGTGTGCGTGTGCACAGAGCTGCTAGAAGGTGAGAGCAGCTGAAACAAAAGGGGCAACTCGGGAGTAAGGCTGGGAGGTGATTGCCCCTCCCATAAGCAATAAAGGACAAGCAAAGATGGCGAAACCTTTGCAGGAGGCAAAGTAGCTTGATCAGTTCCGAGTCATCCTTGAAGCTCTTTGTACTTTGGTTGGTTTTTCTTGTACTTTGGTCAGTTTCTTTTCTAGTTAATTTGATACTTCTGTTTTTGGTAGCATGCCACAGAACTGAAAGGTGTGTGCTTATCTTGGGGGACTGGTTGAGATTAATTCCGGCTGGGAATGGAAACAATTCCCAGTGTTGCAATAAAATAGGTTTTGTTTTTAAAACAAGTTTGTGAATAATTATGGTTTATGAAGCCTGGGTCAGAACAGAAACTTCCTAACAGTGAGAACAATTAACCAGTGGAACGGCTTGCAAGAAGGAGGAGGATCAGGATAAGGGTGAGATCACTGAATTATGGTTGCAAAGTATTTAAGTGAGATCTACTTTAATCCTTAATCAGGTTGCCCTGTTGGTGAGCAGGTAAGAGAGGCTGCAAGAGCAATAAATCCTTGCTGCTTGAAGCACCTTCTGCACACTCTTGGTGCATCCTGGTGCCCATGGCTCCTGGGCTATGGGAGAAGCCAGAAAGCTCTTTCAGTTCAGGCCCCTCGAGCTCAGCCCTCTGCCCATTATCTGCCATGTGAATTATGGGGAGGTGGGAGTTCCCAGCAGAAGAGGGACTCAACCAATTCTCCAAAACGTCTAAAGGCAGAAGAAGAATCAATTGATCACTCATCACGGAGAGATCCAACCAAGAACTAAGGAGAAACTTCCTGTCAATGAGAACAATTAATCAGTGGAAGGGCTTGCCTCCAAAAGTTGTGGATGTTTCATCACTGAAGGTTTTCAAGAAGAGATTGGACAGCCATTTATCTGAAATGGTTTAGGGTCTCCTGCTGATGCAGGGGGTTGAACTAGATAGAAGACCTCCAATGCCCCATCCCTCTCTGCTATTCTCTTATTCGGTCACAGAGGGAGCACTTGGGTCTTTCTGCAGCTGGGATGGGAAATGGCGGGTGCACAGAGAGAGGGCTAGGTGGAAAAGCCAGACTCTTTTGTGTCCCCATGCCAGGATGGTCCTTGAGGAGAAGACCCTAGACTCTTCCATATCTTCATTAATGACTTAGATGAGGGAATAAAAGGGGGAACTCATCAAATTTGCAGATGACACTTAGCTGGCAGGAATAGCCAACACCCCAGAAGACAAGCTCAGGATCCAAAAAGATCTTGACAGACTTGAACACTGGGCCCTCGCTAACTACATAACATTTAATGTGGAGAAGAGCAAGGTGTTATACTCAGGCAGGGAAAACCAAAGGTGCAAGTATAGATTAGGTGAAACCTGGCACAAAAAGAGTAACTGTGGAGAGAGACCTTGGAGAACTAGTGGACGATCCCTTAAACATGAGCCAGCCGTGTTTAATACAATCCTTGGATGAAAGTCATGTGAAGTATTAGTCGGTACTAATACTTTATAAAGTATTAGTCGGTACTAATACTTTATAAAGCCTTAGTAAGGCCACACCTGGAAGACTGCATCCCACTTTGTTCACCACATTACAAAAAATATGTTGAGACTTTGGAAAAAGTGCAAAGAAGAGCAACTAGGACGATTAAAGACCTGGAGACTAAAACATACAACGAATGGTTGCAGGAATTGGGTTTGCCTGGTCTAGAGTAAAGAAGGGGACAGTATTTGAAGGGCTGCTACAAAGCACGAGAAGGAAAGACAAGAAGCAATGGATGGAAACCAACCAAGGACAGAAGCAACCTAGAACTAAGGAGAAATTTCCTAACAGAATAATCAACCAGTGGAACAGCTTGCCTTCTGAAGTTGTGGGTTTCCTTCATCACTGGAGGCTTTTAAGAAGAGACTGGACAGTAAAAAGATAAAATACTTAATGTTACACATATTGACAGTGGTCAGAATAGCCTATCCACAAGTGTGGAAAGAGCATATGGTCCCAACAGAAGAATTAATTTTACAAAAAATAGCAGACTGTGCTGAAATGGATATGCTCACACTAAAAGTAAGAGAAAAAGAAGAATCTGAATACTACTCAGTTTGGCATAGATGGTACATGTGGCTAGAAAAGAGAGATAAGAATTAGAAAGGATGACTATAAGAGAATTCCCAAGAGAGTGATACATAATATGTAAATAGATAGACAAAAAGGATTAAAGATGAAAAATAAGTAATTGTAAATAAAGGCAATATGTATTAATGATATGTACGAATAGATGATGGAAATGTAAGATAATATTATATGCTGATGCAAAAGCTGTTGAAAATTTAACTAAGATTTGTACTGGTGGAAAACCATAAAAATCTATTGTTAAAAAAACAGAAGAGACTGGAGAGTCCCTTGTCTGAAATAGTGTAGGGTCTCCTGCTTGAGCAGGGGGATGGACTAGGAGATCTCCAAGGTCCCTTCCATCTCTAGTCTGATTGATTGATTTGAGGGGAGGGGCATGCTTTGGGGTGACCAGTAGCGGTTGACCTTATTTCGGTCTCCCCCCAGATCAACCGACTCTCCCTTCAGATCAAGGATAAGCCATGGGGCCTGGCATTAGATGCTATTGGCTTAAAGAGAAAATGCCACTTTAGCATGAATAATGGCTGCCTCTCTTAGGGATGAGAGAGGAGATCAAGGCAATGCCACGAGGAGATGGCAGAGCATGGTTGCCTCCAGCACAGGCTTAACATGGATCAACACAAGCTCCTCGCTATTGAAAGAAAGCCACAGCTTGCAGTCGACCAAGAGCCTGCATACTATCTAGGAAGACTGGCTTGTTTTGAAAGGACAGGGCTGAGCTTCCTGTTTTGCTTCTGCTCCTTCTCATACATTGTGCAATTATCCCCTCCAGCAAAGCACATGGCAGAAAAACTCCCCCACAGAGAGAGGCTCTTGGAAAATCATGCTTGGCTTTTGCCTTTGGCCTCTTTTCATTTGCACCTAGCTACGGCATGAACAGATCGAGCCCTTTTTTTCTGCCAAGGTCTTAGCAGGTTGCTTCCTCCTTGTCCCCAACCTCTACCAAAGCCTCTTCCTCCATCTGTGGCTCCTCCATTCTCTCCCTCCTTAAACAGTGAGGAACTGTGGGACTTTCAATGTGTGATGGTACTGCAGATGTACTTTGCCAAGGATTTGGTCAGAGGGGGCAGCATCAGTCCAACGCCTATTGGGCATCAGAGGTTGGTGCAGGAAGCCCCTGGTTCCCTTGCTGTTCAGGGTGTTTTTTCAAGCATCTTCACCTGCTTTGGGCAGAGAGAGTCCGGTTCTTTCTCTGAACCCGTTTGGTTTCTAGAAATCAAATCCATGGTCCAGCCTGGATTGTCTCAAAGAGCAGCTGGGGGCAGTAGGGGATGAAGCAGGAGAGAGCCAACTCAACTCTCCAACTCTTGTTCAGTGGCTTCTGAACATGGCTTCAGGGAACCTCAAGAACAGCACTGCATCTGTGTCCAAAAACCCCCCTCTGATTTGCCTCAAGTATTGCCTCTAGCCTCATAATCTTTTGGATGTAGGTTTCACACTCTTCCAAGGGAGAGAAATCCCTTTGGATACACCTGTAATTAATCTAAGCCTCACTACCTACATCCAATTTAACAACTGAATACTCCAGCAGATCACAAGAAAACTCATGAACTGCACATCTCAGGCTACACAGAAGAAGCAGGTTGTCCTTCCCAGGATCAAACTCAAAATATTATCAACTGTGTTAATAAGAGAAAGCCTGTTCGGTATAATGGTGAAAGTATGAGGCTAGAAAGGATTGGACCCTGAGTTCTCATCAGCCTTAGACATACAGCCAGCTGGGTGACCTGACTCAGTCAGGCTTTCTAAGCCCTTGGGGAGTAGGCAATGCCAAACCACTTTGGAAAGTTTTGTCAAGAAAACAACAGGCAGTTGCCAATAGGCGACACATGCTTAAAGCCACAAAAAATAAAATTAAGAAGCCGTTTCTAATCCTCCTAGAAAATCAAATTGAAAAGGGCACTCAGTGTTCATGTAGAGCAGAGGTCTCCAAACTTGGCAACTTTAAGACTTGTGGATTTCAACTCCCAGAATTCTCCAGCCAGCTGGTTGAGGAATTCTGGGAGTTAATGTCTACAAGTCTTAAAGTTGCCAAGTTTGGGGACCCCTGATGTAGAGAGTGACAAAAAAAAACCCAAACCCCACCAGCTGCCTCCACCCCAATTTTTGATCACTCTGTCTTATCTCCAGACAAAAAAGATGCCATACTACAAACTCAACTTTATAGAAAATGGGTACACCCTGATCAAATGTTAAAATCTGCAGCAACCATCATCAGCCCACAGAATGAGGAGAGTAAGACTCCTTAGGTCTAGGGCACCCTACAGCTCAGGAACACTCTGAAGCAGGGGGCTTCAACCTTGGCCACTTTAAGATTTGTGGACTTCAACTCCCAGAATTCCTCAGCCAGCCATAGCTAAAGTTATCAAAATTGGAGTCTCCTGCTTTGAAGGACCGGATTTAACTACCTCCAAAATACACTCAAGAGCCCCCAACATACACCCCAACCCCAATTTCATAAAACAATGTACTGGGACACAAAACAACGAACAGAAAGAATTACTATACTAACAGAATACAGAATGTTATTCTGTATTCTGTTGGAAGGGAACATGGAGGCCTTCTAGTAGTTCAACCCCCTGCCCAAACAGGAGATGCTATACCATTCTGTCCAGTCTTTTCTTCAAAGGCTTCAGTGATGGAGCATCCCCAACTTCTGTAGGCAAGCTGTTCCCCTGATTAATTGTTCTCACTGTCAGGAAATTTCTCATTGTTTCTAGGTTTCTAATGTTGCCATAGATTTAAAAAATGTGTCAGAACACACTAGGAGATTATTCCACCCACTGGGGATCAAAGGTGGCCCACAAAACTGCCTGCAAACTCTGTGCAAAGTAAAAGACTGCAGTCTCCCCCCACCCCCCAAACCGATATTGTATACAACTGCCAGGGCTGCAACCAAAATGACATAGGCCACACATGAGATAGGCTACAACAAAGAATTAAGGGACACAAGACTTCAATAAAGCTGGCTAGAAAATATCTCGAGCCTATTGCTCAAATAAATGGGCTACTAATAGAGGCAACGAGTTGGGTACCATCAGCCAGGCACCTAATTTGAAACTCCAGAACAAAACAGGTGAAGAAGGATCATTCATTCAACAACTTCAAGACCAACTTCTGGGGTTTTCAGTCATGGCTGTGTTGCCAGCTGACAAATTCTGTGAGAAAATTCTGGAGATCTCTTTGGTTGGGAACACATTATATGATCTGGAATTTAGTTATTCTTCAAAATGTACACTTCTGCAAATTTTACAATATTCACTAATTCAATAAAGTAATGTCTATATTCAAAAAAGGATGCATTTATTAAAATTAAAGTTACGTCAGAGAAAATTAGTTGTAGAAATTGATTGATTGTCACCAAGCAAGGTTTCAAATAAAAATATATATGTTTGGGGAAATCTGTCAAAAGAGACAAAAGTTACAGTTCCCCCTCCCTTAAAAAAAAAAAAGACCTAAAATGAAACAAACCAAATAATACATTTAAAGAAATGGGATACTGAGTCAATCCACTTCCTACCGTTTTTCTCCAGCAAGAAGATTTCTGTGGGTTGAGATGCACCTCTAGAGTTGTAGGCTGAGAGATAGATCCTTCTGGCTCCTGGGGGCATCAAGAACGTGCATTGCTTCTCCGTGGTGTTACACAGAGAGAGGGAATTGCTTGCGTGCTGATTGATGCTGAGTGCTGCCCAATATCCCAGGATTTTACCATTGGCCTCATGCGGCTTCATCGGCTGTAGAGCGAGATAAAGGCAGGTGGAAATGCAGCACGTGAAATCTGCAGCCTGTATCGTCTGCATTCACACAGTACATTTAATCAGAGGAGCAAAAGAGCTAGAATTTGCATTGGTTCAACACACAAATCTTTGTTTTCACTGGAGCCGGTCCTTTTATGGCTAAGTGGGTTTGTTTGGAGAGTTCAGGACGTTGGACTAATTCATTTGTATGAACCAAGATTAGAAATGGGCTAATGCAATACAGGTAGTCCTTGACTTACAACCATTTGCTTACTGACCATTCAAAGTTCCAATGGCACTGAAAAACTTTTCCATGAGCGTTGCAGGTCGCAAAGGGTGACCACGTGACCCCAAGATCATGTGATCTAAATCCAGAGTGTCCTGGGGTCATGTGATCACCCTTTGCAACCTTCTGATAAGGAAAGTCAACGGAGAAGGCCATATTCATTTAACAATCATGTTACTAACTTAACAGCTGCAGTAATTCACTTAACACCTGTGGCAAGAAAGGTCATAAAATGGGACAAAACTCATTTAACAACCGCTTTGCTTAGCAAGAGAAATTTTGGGCTCAGTTGTGTTTGTTCACTGATTATCTCTAATACGATTACCCATCTCCCTCCTGCTTGGCCGCCTGGCCATGGTCTCCCCATCCCAAGAGCAGCTGCTGGAATAAAGTGGCCTTCGGTCCTGCCTAGTGAGGCACCTGCTTACCTGCCACAGGAGTTGCACCTCTGTCCCCTCCTTTGCCTCTCGCAGTTCCCACCAGGCATCGAGCATTCCTGAAGGTGCTGTGGGAGAGAAAGAGGCTTCAGCACCATCAGCATTTGGCTCTGACCCTTCTCCTTCAAGCAGCCCAGCTCTTCAAGGTCAGCTAAAGTTATCTTCTGCTTGGAAAGTCACTTCCCCCCACCCCAATTCTTCTTCACTAAACGTATTTGATTGTAAGCCAGGGGTGTCCAACCTTGGCAACTT